TTCCCTGAACATCTAGATTTCACTCCACCCAACATCTCTTTCCCAACTCAATTACACAAAGGATCAAACAGAAAACCCACAAGGCCAGGAAGATTACTTAGAGGCTGATTGCCTTCAGTGACATTAAGTGCAGAAGTCAAAGGGGACATTTGGCAAGATCAACATGAGGGGAAAAATCAACCACACAACAAAGAAAACCATACTTTATTAAACTAGGAAAAAAATGTCGGGGACAGAGTCTTTTAAAAGGAATGGCTGGAAGAGAGTAAAGTGCAAGTAGTCACGAAGAAGGGACGAGACGGGTGGCCTACGGTACCGCGTAAGCCTCAGAAACGTGTGGGCACACGCACCGGGCCTCCCACCCCACACACCCTTGGACCAAAAGCCAATACAATCGTATCTTCAGGGATATATCCAGGCTTTTCTTTCTGCATCCTTTGGTTTCACCTTCAGCCCTGGACAGTCATGTGGGGTCTTTGCTGGAGAAAAGCAGGTTTTCCAACCAAGGCCTGCGTCACAAGGCAGCAGCTTCAGCTCCTGGAGTAGGTCCCTCCTATTTGCACTCACCAGAGAAACCGGGGGCCCCTGGTCAAAGCCCCAGTCTCAAAGAAAAATGTCAAACCTTTAGAACTAGTTATTTTATTAAATGATATTATTAATACACATTTCAAAAGGATCTCGTTGTTGCTTCTAAAGCATGTACTTGTTTTGTTTTCCACACTGAACACGGGAGACTATCAATCCAACATAGCTAATTTTTATCATAACAGGCACCCCGCCCATTAAAAAAAAAAGGAGAAATAAAGCGGGGGAAGCAGTCATTTACAGCGGCTTCAAAACAATAACAGGTGAAGCTTAAGTCTGCATGAACCGGTGACTTCAGGACTGAGTGAATAATCTGCAGTTAGGAAGTTTAACATATTCACATTATCTAGAGAGGTTTGCTGTACCATAGCACAAACATTGTATTCCTGGTATTGGAAAGGATAAAAGTCTCATTCCCTGCTCATTTGCCCTCCCTAGAATCAAACCAAATTCTCAACGTTTGGGAGGGCAGAGGGGAGCAGGGAGAGCTCTTATCTAAGCTGACCGATACTTTCAAGTACCTAAGGACCCCAATTCGGATACTGTATCACAGACCTTCAAGTGGTACTAGTATAATATCCCCTGACCCAATCAATTCTCTGTCTGTGATTTTACAGTAGCACCAAGGACCTTAGTCACAACTTCTCATATTCTGCTTTCATATGAATCATGTCCTTGCCAAGACACACTATATTATGCTTTCTTTAAAAAATATTGTGTTTATTATTTTTTTTTAACTCAGGTTGAAATACAAAAGTCAGAGCATGGTCATGGAGTTTTAAATCACAGACACAGAAAGAATAAAACCCCTTTGTTTCATGTTCTGAATACCAGAATTGTCTTTTGTTCACTATATCACATATGTACATTGTCATCTTTATTTACTGCTGTAGACAGTTTTCCTTAAAATTAATAGCTGACAGTCTCATATAAATCCTCACTTCCACCCTAAAACACAGAGGATTTTGTGGCTTAAAATAACAAAACAAAAATGACCCACGAAAAACCAACCCCTTAAGAGCCCATCTTTTAAACTATACAACCAAATCTTCCTTTCATGTATTGGCCATCATGCTTTTGAGGACAATTACTCTGCCCTAACATTCAGGAAGCCACTTTCCTGACATCCCCGCACTTTCTGATAAAATCAAATGGTCAGAGAGCCTTTTCAAGTAAACACTACTTTTAACTTAAACAAGAGCAGCAGAAACAATTCACATTCTTTTATTCTAGAATGAAAAACATCCCACTTAATTTCTGCAACAACAAAAAGTCTATTTCAGTTTTGAAAGTCAAATAGAATTCCCCCCACCCCAAGCCCATTTTCTCTCTTATGCTTTTCCTAAACAAATGTCTTAGGACTCAACATAACTATACTTTCTTCTACGCTATATACCCCATCCCACACACAAGTCATGGTATCATGCATTTTTGTGGGGAGAGCCACAGGGCAGAGAAGTTTGAGAGGATCAAGGAAAGAAAGAACAGCTGGCTTAAGACCAGATATGCATTAGGAAGACAAAGGACTTGCAGCGTCCTAACCACAGAACACATGGCGAGCCCCAATAAATAACAGAACAAATGACACAGAAGCACCCCAATTATGATGCACGCCTGGTTTAAGCTGCTGTTTCTCTGAAAAGCAAGTTTATTCTGACACAATCATTTCTGTCCCTACACTGCCAGCCCTCCTCATCTTTAAATGCCACTGGATCCCAAGCAACTCCCACACTTCCTACAGTTAGTTCTATACTAACTTGTGAGGAAATAGGAGACTTACTAGAATTCCCTCAAAAACGGAACATGTACTGTTTTATTCATCTAGCTGGAGATTATCAGCATGTATGTCTTGGGGTAAGACACTAAACAAACCAACAAAAGGTAGTAAAGCAACATTTGCTTTTTAGTGTCCCTAGATATAGAAAAAGAATAAACACTTGGAGTACAGTGATTGTCTTTTTCTCGAGTACTAGATGTAGAAAATACAAAACGAAGTCTGTCTGTCCATGCAGGGAGAAGGAAAGCACTTCTCTCTCACACCAAATGACCAAGGCTAGAAACAGCCTTTGCTTCATGTTGAGGGTGTGAGTGGGGACAGACTGGCTACTACAGAGTGGGGTGCATTTGGATTTGTCAGGTCCTCCTGTTTCTCTGCGAAGGTATATAGAGTAATAACCACCCGTCTCTAAGACACAGCTGAAGGAGTAACATAAAGAAAGATGCTACCCAATCTCCTCGTTTAAAATATCAAGAATGGGTAAATATTGGACTGAGGCAAGGGGAAAAGGAAGATAAAGACAAGTATTTTCCTTTCTCTAATAGTTAACCTTTGTTGAAAACCACCAACAAATGTCACTTACATTAGGGAGGCACCATGGTAAAATTACTATCTACTTACATTTAAAAACGCAGGGATAATATTTCAGTTGCACCTTTGTATCAACAGTCAACTCTGGTGACTTTCTGGCCACAGAAGTGAAAACAGAGGGAGAAAAGTTGGAAAAAAAAAAAAAAGCAGGAGGCAAGAGCTTGGTGTAAAGCATGAAAACTAACTTGAAAACGTTTCCTGTTTTCTCTTGTTTACTAAGGACGGGCAGGTCACATCACACCATTAATGGTTGCTTTTCTAATTTTATATTGTAGTCACTCCTATTTAACCTTGAAATTATATCCAGCCCCATCTTTTTCATGCTAAGGACAAAGATGAATTATTTTTAATAGAATAGAATGAGGTCTGTATCTCCTCAAAGTCACTGCCTGATGTCCTTAGAGGAAGAGGCTGATTACATTTTTAAAAAGCATTTGAGGAGAAGGGTAAATAACTCAACTTTAATATGCCTTTCAAAACCAAACAAAAGAAAACAACCAAGCCTGACAGGTACAAGGTCTCCCACGTTTCCTCCCTAGCAACATGGTGGGGCACAGAACACAGAGGGAAGGGAGCCGAGCTGGCTATAGCAGCTACTTAGCTGGAAAGAGAAAGGGACAAGTGTCCTTCCATTGACTGCGGGACAAGCCAAGCCCAAAATAACACCCCAACATTGCACATGTGATTCTCTGTACTGATGGAAGTTTTATTTCAAATAATACTCTTCGATAGGTGGGGTAAAATAAAGATTGTTTTCCTCCCCACTCCCCAACCAAATGAAGTGGCTTTGTGTCTTTTTACCTTTTTCTTTTTTAAACACAAACAACTTGGGGAAGGTAGGTAAGTGCAGTGGGAGGGAGGATTGAATGGATAGTGAAATGTAAGCATGTATGACTTTTTAATTTGGAAGAGAGGCCCTTTGTTATAACAACAACAAAAAAATAAATCAAGGGAGGGAAAACAAACAAAAACAACAATAAACCAAACTCCTACTTCCAATGCTCTCTAGACAATGCCTTTCCCTTGTTCCATCAGTACCTGGGAGGGAAGAATGGGCGTTTTGGTGCAAAGAACGGAGGGCCCCTAGCAAAAGGTGGCCTGGGTCTCTTTAAGCTGTGAAACGGGTCTCTGCCGAGAAAAGGTTCCCTAGGCCGAAAGTCTGGCCGGGGACTCCGTAAGATCATACCACTCCGGCTGATGGTGTCTCTGTGTGAGGGACCCAAGGGGGGGCCGCTGCTGCCGCCTCCCCCACCTCCTCCTCCATGGGCCGGGCCCAGGTGCTCCAGAGAATGAGAGGGTAGGCTCAGGCTCTCTCGTACACGGCTAAGGCCAGGGCCGTTGAGGTCCCGCTGGGTGGGGCCCCCATGGTCCCTGGGTCCTGGCAGCACCCCAAAATGCTCAGCCAGGGCCCCTTGAAGGAGGGAACTATGGTCCTTGGGAAACA